ATATTGACAAATAGAAAATTATTCTTGGGCCACTTAAGGTTGGTGAAACAGATATTAAGAAAGTTATTTAAATTCTGTAAATATCAGAAAATCCTACATTTCTATTCCAAACATATATTCATATATTAAGAAAAAATGATACCCTAAGTATCCAGAAAACAACATGCATTTTTTGCATGTGGTTACAAATGATAAAGTTTTTTCTGTTTTATTTAAGAATCTTTTAGTTTTCAAATCTATGAAGATTTCTGAAGGATATCAGACTTCAGGTTGTGTGTTTTCTGATCACAAAATCTCAACTGCCTACTAAAAGTCATAAATCTGACATTATGATGAGTGGAAGCACACAAGCCTTGTATATTATAGAAGGAGGAAAAACTTTAGGTTTTCCATGCATCATTTATTTTAAATTCACATTGCATCTTATTTTCAAAACTCTGAAATCAAATTACACGGACTTTACTTCCTTTATCTAAACATCCTGATTCAATTTTCAAAGTGTTTTTGAGTGTGACATCATGCATGGAATCAAAAGTAGAAGTTTGATGTTCATTCTTACATACAGGAATATTTTTTGTTCAAAACTAGATTTAAATAAGCACATCTATAAAAAGAGAGTTTATAGATTTTACAGGAAGATGAAATTGATAAAATATGAAGGACATAAAATCATTTGTACATGATCAGAGACTTTCAATGATTCTAAAATAGAAAAAAGACTCTATTGGTTCTTTCAGAAACTTTAGTTTTAATGTAAGTAAAAGAAAAACAACATAAGAAGTACTAAAACTGTCAAGCTTGTTAAATTGATGTGTTGTAAAACAAAAAATACAGAAAAACCTGATAGTGGTTCAATAAATCTATGATGTCTATTACATACAATGTATCAAGACATGCACACTTTTCCTTTGAAGAACTTTCCATAGGAATTCTCTACTTTTACAGAATCACATCTACCCAAGATTTCTATTAGAGTCTAAATTTCTTTGTGTATCGTTCATTTTTGGCTATTAATTTTATAATTCTTTTTTGTTTATACCATAAGATTTTTAAAGTTGATACTAAATAAAAACATTTAAATATGCAATCATGATTATACATTTTATCTGCTATTTTTTATTGCCATTCATATTATTGTGTCTAAATTCTTACGTAGTCTTTGAAGAAATTTCACCACATAACATAATTTGTATCTTGCCAAAATCTCACCCAGATACCAGGGATTGGTAAAATTAACCTCTGTGATTAAAACATAATTTTACATGTTTACCTTTTACACTATTAGTTGTAATCAGTATTAGTTTTTCTTGCATTTAACTCATAGATAGAATATAGTCTTGTAAATAAGAAAATAACTACTTACTTTCTACTCATAGGTATATGCAACATATATAAATTTTGATAAGCAATGAGATATTTTATAAAAGAAAAGAATGAATAATAGTTTCACCTAAGTTTTCCAAAAATTATTTCATTAAATCTCGAAAACTAAAGGCAGTTTATAATGAATTCAGGAGATTGATTTAATATATGATATATACCTTTAGTATATAAGCCAAAGACAAAACCACCCTAAGGATTTTATAGTTGAATATTTGTGGAATTACATGTGTATTTTTAATAACCACAGAATTAAGTGCTTCTCGAAATCTACAAGCCTGTAATTATGTACACAAAATATAAATATATACATATATAGAGAGATGCCCATATTTATGCTTACACACATATATGATTAAAATTGTAATGCTGTTACTTATTGTTATTACTAATATCCAAATATTCTTCCAATAAATATAATTTACTTCCTATCTTTTATAAAATAAAAACCTGTGAATTTTCATTGCTCCAAGTTACTGTTCAATTAAGTGGAAATGCCCTTAGTATTTTCTAACTACAATTATATTTAACATAATTGAGTTTATTATTGTTTTCATTTCTTTCCATGGTTATGTATGTGTATATTCACAATTACCTTTAAATACATCTTATCCTTTTTGAGGAAAGAATCCAGTTCCATTCTGAGTTCTAATTTTCATTAAAACAAATGAGACAACTCTTGTGGCAGGTTGGTTTATTTTAAATATTCACCTAAATTTTTGTTTAGGTACTAACAAATTAGTACTAATAAGTTAGGTACTAATAAGTTATAGAAGGTACTAATAATTAGTGCTGATGAAATTAACAAGTAAATTATATTGTTTGATTTGAGTTAATGGAATTAGTACATTACACTGGAATTCTTTATGTTTGGAATTATTTCAGTGGTGAATTCCTTTTTCTGACCTACAAAGTTTGAAATTGATGAAATATAATCTCTGATCTTCTTTTAGCACTTATGCTTCAGGAAGGAAAAGAATTTAAGAAATCTGCAGGTTGTCTAATTCAGGTTCTAGGTAATGAAGAAAATATCTCTTATCAGAACAGTGTCCTGCTTTGAATAAGAAGCTTCAAGTCTTGCAAATCTTCTCTTACTCAAATACACCTATATTTTCTGTATTTGTAATAAAACAATCCCCACAAAGCAATCCCCCTGTGATTTAAAGGATATATATATATTCTGTATTTGGTTCATTGCTTATCTTCATATCTTTTATAATATAGATTTTTTGATATATTCTGTTTAGGATTTTCCTCAAATATATTATCATTTCTCCTTTTTGAGATTTGGCTAGGTTTTATTCATGGTTCTATTGTTATAACTCACAGTGATACCATGTATTATATTTTAAAAAATAAGTACAATTTGTTTTTTCAAATGTAAAATTTTTAAAATTTAGTATTTCTAACTAAACTAATTCTGACAAATAGCATTTGATTGATAAAATTTTAAGTAGTTATAAAAGAGTATAGGAAATAAATATTCTGGGTTGAAAGAGTAGGGTTTATTTTTAACAATTTATGCTCTTCACGTATTTTTACTTGTCACTAAGTGATATGCAAAATTAATTATGGTTTCTCTTTGATGTATCTAACATATAGTGCTTTGTAAAAAAATTGTGTGATATTAAATTAGAAATTGTGGATCAGATTATCATAATTTTAATGTTTCTATAGTGTATACGTTTTGTCCAGAATCTATACACTGCATTGTGAATGTATATGATTTTGAAATTAAATATCACCCATGTACCTTTAGTGCTGTCTTAAAGATGATTTAGACATGTTTCAATAGCTTGGTGAGAAAATATTTTTGCAGTAATTATGCAACTTTGCCTTTAGAAATGAATTCTCTGACTCTGTAATTTAATAACATGGAGCTTCCTAAATCATACCTAAATTTCTTAGTACTTTTGGATCTTGCATGAAAAATGAAAATTTGATAAATTTTTCCTCTGGAAGACAAAGACAGTTGTTGGAATAAACACAATCAACAGCATTTGCATTATACGAGATGAAACTAATACTTCTTTTCACATTATTTTTTAAAACACAGGAATTACTTTATATCTCTCCAATTACTGTTAGCAGTTATTTACAATCTTCATTTTTTTTTGGGGGGGGTACTGGGATTTGAACTTGGGACCTTGAGCTTGTGAGGCAGGTGGTGGCACCACTGACCTAAATCCCCAGCCCCTACAATATCCATTTTCTAATAAACATTCTGAAAAATCTAAATTTTGTCTTATCACCTCAAACATTTGCCTTATTACTTTTTAAATGAGACAGAAATAGTGATATTGTATGTCAGAATCAGTGCACTCTACTCAATATCCTGAAAAAATTACAATTATTTTATTATATTTTAAAATTTGCATGATTTTGAAGAGTATTACAAATGGAAAGACTGTATAATCCCAGATCAATGCTACTATCATCAGCCCTTCTGGTCTCATCACAAAAGTCATCTATCGTCTTAATTCAGTTTATGAAACAAATTTTATGAAATGTGATTGCCACAGAATAGTATATAAATTGGATAAAGAAAAATTAAAGTACTTTCTTGGTTACTCTTAGAAATAAATACTTTGTTTTTATATTAACAACAGTATAAAGAATTGAACTTACATTAAAATAACACATAATATCTCAATTAATACTGTCTTAATATCATTCTAAGAAAAATGGTTATTTCTTATTTGATAGTAATATGGATAATTAATAATCAGAGAAGGGCTTTACTGGCCAAATAAACTTAATTATATATAAAACAAATTTTAAAACCTTTATTATTGTAGATGATCTAATTTTTCATTTTATATTTCAACTTAAATAACATTTACCAAAGCCAAATGTGTAGAATCTTTAAATGCAGATATTTACAGACTGTGTAACATAGATTTAAAATTAATATTTCTGTAAAATAAACATATATATGCTTATTAGTAGAATCTTGGTTGAATAACAGCATTAAATAAGAATTATAGTGAGAATATAATCAATGGAATAAAATGCTGTGACTATGTGCAATGTGGTAGATACCTGAATTTCCAGGACCTTAAACTCCTTGCTCCTTTATCTTCTCTCATTTCTAAATTCTTTCCCAAATTTAAAAGTCCAAACACGAGACCTGCTTATTCCTGGTAAAAACACCCTCGTCATTCAAAAAAGATTGCCTTCTATTTCAATAGCAACTTTCTTTAGCAGGTAAGGATATAGTCCACTTAGCCCCAACCTGGAGATATGCATAAGCTGATCATGTCTGTGTGACCAGAAGAAATGTTACCATGTCCATAGACAAGTCCGTACTTAGGAATGAGTCCATGCTCATCAACCTAGGTTATATTCAACCTGGCAATTCCTTACAGACATATGTGTCATCATAAAAGATCCTTTTGCTGGTTTAATAGTAGAAGTGACATTTACATTCTTGAGCCAGGATTAGTACAAATGTTCATTCTTTCTCATTGTGAAAACTAGATAACATCTATATTATTATTGAGAGAAAGAAAGTATTCATCATTATGGAAAATGCTATCTGAACACATGGATATCTAAGTACTGTTGTTCACATCTAGAAAAAATTACCCATACTAGATATTTGATCAAATTTATGGCCGTTTTGCAAAAACTTAACCTTTATTTCACGATCTAATAAAACATTCAATTTTAAGGCTTATTTACTGCCTTTTAGCTAAGAAATGCATTTTCTGATTATGATTGGAAAGATATCAAATGGAAGGTTTTTAAATTACAGAATATATTGGAAGATACAGTATGTATTTTTTTGTATGAAAGTTTGGGTTTACATTTTTAAATCATTTCACGTCATACTTCACTTTAAAAATGTAATCATTTCTTAACATAAATGTGATACATCATAGAAGATGGACAAGTTTACCATCAAAATGAGCGAAATCAATTTTACTTATAACCAGATGGCAACATCTGATTTTACATCTTGGAATTCATTGTAGGTAAAGGAGCGTGATCGTCTCCTAAGATTTGTCGGTCTCCTAGGTCTTCCTTCTATCAAGTCTAAATAGATGTCAGATTTCAGAAAACGTGTGTAACTGTCTTGTTCCATGAGCTGATACACTTTGCTTTGTGCAGCATCAAAAATGTGGAGTGTGGGATGAATGATACTCTTAGAAATGATTTCTTTGGTGTAAAAATCAAGATTAACCTGTACAGACAGAAAAAAACAAAACAAAACATATAGTGAGTCTATTTAAGCAGTCACCTTTGAGAACACAGTTCAGGATGGATACAATGTGGTGTATTAGATACTGTGTGCTTGGGTGGCTGTATATACATTTTTTCTCTGTTTGAGGGATCCAGTGATTTATTTTGGGTTGGCAGTTCATTTGACTCCTCTCTCTCTATGCTCTTGGTCTTACTTCTTACTCTCTTAGAACAGCTGAATGTTCCAATGGTATGCGTCATACAGATTGTCAAGTTAGCTCATTCATTTTTAAAGTGGAGAACTGAACTTCAAAGAGGTTAAACTATTTGAATGATGGAAAAGAGTGAGTTTGTGGTGTATCGCAGAGTTGAAGATAACATCATTTGTTAATCCCAGTGCTCATTTCATTATGTTATGATGATTCCCTACACACAAATATATGCTAAAGTATGACTGTCTCTAAAAGACACACAATCTTTAATGCTTTTTATCACAGTACTACTGATATAGCTGGTTCTGATGGTGCTGTGTTTTCAGGTAGGGTCCTTAGTTTCCTCTGGGTAACACAATACAGCTAGCTACTTTTTAAAAAAATGGTATGTATAAGGTTGGTGTTGGGGAAGATGGAATACTACATTGAAAAATAGCAGATTGAAACCTACCAAAGCAAGGAAAATGACTATCATTTCTTGTGGCGCAATTATCTACCTAGATAATGCTACTTTATCAACAGTGTTACAGCTTAGATTGTAAATGTTCCCCATAGGCCCATAAGTTAAGAGCATGATTGCTAGTCTTGGTGATATTGGAAGGTGGTGGAACCTTTAGGAGGGAATCTAACAGAAGGAAGTTAGGTCTTAGGGGCATATCCTTTAAGGGGCTTTTGGGACCCTCTTCTTTCTTGTCCTTCTCTTCTTGCTTCTAAGCTATGAGGGATGCAATTTCTTCTTTCATGTACCTCTACTGTGATGTACTGATTTGCCACAATCCTGAAGCAAAAGGGCCAAGTGACCGTGGACTGAAAACTGACACTATGAGCCAAAATAAACTTTTTTTCCTTTTGGTTGATTTATCTCAGGTACTTGGCACAGAAAACTAATGCAGACAGCATTAACTTATAGTCAAACAACACTTTTAATAGTGACAAACCCTCAGTTTTACCACCTAAATGAAACACATAATTGAAGCAAGATACTGAAATAGTTTTTTCACTTGAACCATTGCAAGTTAGTTGTCATTGTTTCTCCACTTTGAAGTTTTCTTTTGACTTATGCTACAACAGAGAAAAAACTCTTTGTAGAAAAAAATTTTGCATAGGTAGACAATATAATAGTACATGTTAATCATGTCTTAATTTCCCTAGCCTTTATCATTTATAAAAATACTCAGTTTCTATGAGAGGTTGCTTTTTAAAGGCATTAATATGAAATGCAATTATTTGTATTGACTTTAATCTAGATGAAAATAACTCTAAGGAGTGACTTCAATTTTACATTTTCTTCCATTGTTATATCTTATAATGTGTCATGTTTTATATATAAATCTATATGAATAATATTTTTGCTTTGAAAAATTCTTTTATGGTAGATTATGTGGGGGTGCAGGTTTGATGAAGGCAAATTTTTCAAGCATTTGAAAACATTTTTCTAATCATCTTTACCTCTTTTGGAGCATCATTCTGTATAAACTTCTTGTATATTGCTTTTGCTTTAAGGATAATTTGTTGAGGTTCCTTGCTTTTCTTGAAATCTTCACAGGCTATCCAAAATTCAATGTTTTCCTCGCTGAATTCGGTTTTAAGAAATCTGGTAAAAACATCCAGTCCATCTACCAAAAAAATATGTTATAAGTAGAAAATATCAATGCCGAGAAGTATACTTCTTGATATTAAGGCGTAACTACAAGTATTAACAGAAAAGCTACGAATTTAATATACCATGGCAGCACACATCTTCACGGTATTCTTGAATGTCCTCTTATAAATTAACTTTAATTTCACAGCTATGAAAGGTAAGCATCATTCCTGTTGAAATAAGGCTAGTATACATAGGTTTACGTCCTTACCTAAAAGTAAGTGGGACTTCTATTATGGATTTCAATTTGTGTCTCTTTTATCCATTTGCCTTCCAGAGTGTGAAGGGTTGTTCTACAGACTCAAAAGATTTTTTCTTTGGAACTCACCATGCCCTGCTTCTAGACAAATTCCCTGTACAAAGACATTTTGTTTTCAGGGTTTCCATAGTTTCCTTTGCCCAAGTACATCCACCAGGACACTCACTCCTTGGTAAGCATGTACTTAGTGGGCAGGGCTTACATTTGTAGACTGGAGTGTCCCTCAAATATCAAAGGGGCCTCCCACAGTGTTGAGATAAACCATGGATGGAAAGAAAAGGGAGTAGACCATATAGAATTAGGAAGAGTCCATGGATTTTAAATTCAAAAGTAATCTTTCAAGTGGTTTACAGAATGTATTTGTCAAAATAAAAAGATGAAATATATCTTTTAGACAGTTGTTAGATTGCTTTATAATGCTGAACCATTTAGACATATAGTATGCAGCTTTTTTTCCTTTTACTCTGAGCCCCATAAATTACAGAGGCAAGTATCAAGTCTTATGGAAGACTGCCTAGACTCAAATTCATATTTATTTTGATATTTGAGGCCTTGAGTTTATTACTTTTTCTTTCTGTGCTTCAGTTTCTCAATATTTAAAAATTAGATTATAATGGTACCTACTTGATAGGGCTACTTAAAAAATTAAATATGTTAAGAAATGCAAATTATATAGAATAGTAACTAGCACATAGTAACTAATGATTTTGGTGGTGGTTGAGATGGTGATAATGATGATGATAAGGATATCCTTGGTGATTATGAGTTACTGAAATCTCAATGAGATAAAGTTTACATAGCTAAAAGGGTGGCAGACTTTGTATTCAAACTGTAAGTCAATCTAACTTTAAATCAACATTCTTTCAACTGTTTTTGATATTATGCAATTTTTCGGCTCATAGGCATTTTTAGAATTAAACTTTAAGAAAATGATAGTGTCACATAAGTAGAGAGAGATCTCATGTACCCTTTATTCAGCTTCTACTGATGTAACAACTTCCGAAGCTGTAGTAAAAGATGACAACTAGGATAATGATATTAATGTCACAACTTACAGAACATTATAAGGACACCTCATTTGTCGTTTTAGAGACATTCTCACATTTCTCCCACACACAACTCCTTCTTAACCCCTGAGAATTATTAATGTGTCTTCTATCGCTATAATTTTGCCAATTCAAGAATATTATATGAATGAAATGATATAGTATATACTTTTGGAATGCTTTTTTATGCAGCATAACTCTCTGGAAATTAATTGGGGTATGAATAGTTTATCTTCATCATTGTATTTAATTCTCTGATAGTTGTATACTACCATTTGCTTAACCATTTTTCTACAGAAGGACGTACAGATTATTTCTAACTTGTTGATGCTGGTGCTATTATTTTATTAAAAATAAACCTGCTGGGGCTGGGGATTTAGCTCGGTGGTTTTGCTGCCTGCTGTGCAAGCGCAAGGACCCGAGTTCAATCCTTGGTACCAAAAATAAAAAAATAAAAAATAAAAAAAAACCTGCTGTAAAAATTTATGTACAATTTTAAATAATGTAATCATAAGCCTTCATTTCTTCGGGATAAATCCTAAGAAGTGAAATTGTTTTATTTGTGTGGTAGTTACATTATATGAGCATGGAAAGAACAAATAAGTTTCTTATGGACATTCAGATAAATTATCTCAGAGGAAATCACATTCAAGTTTGATTTAAATGATGTTTAGCAATCTTTCTTTAGATTTAGTCTCACTCTCTACTCAGGATCTGTTTCTGCTGTCACAACTAAGTTATTACACAAGGAAATCTCATGATTCCCATCTGGATTTCTCACAGACCCCTCCTTCTACAAATACTCATCTTTGTAGGACTCTGGGGCACCATCTCCAGGTTCACATTGTCTGATCACTTTGTGCAGTGGTGTTTGTTGGTGTATCTTCGCCTTTTCCCCATTAGGTGTGATGCTCTCCAGGACTTGGTTCCTTACCTTCTCTCCTATTCTATTCTTTTCTAGTTTCTCCTTCTCTTCTCCATCCTCCTGTCTTCTCTTTCAACATTTTTTTTCCTGAAAGTATTTTCCTATTCCCTACTGTAAATTATGCACATTGTTGGCATCTGTAAGGAAAATGCAACTACAAGAAAACAATTATGGAAAACAAAATTTCTCTGAGTTCAATTTTGACATTAAGAAAAATTAAATCTCATCACAAGGAATCATCAAAAGAAAATTCTTCCTTTGACTTCAAATATTTCTCCAAATACTGAAATATTTCTTCTTACAAATATAAATCCTTTGATTAACTTTTCTATGCTTGGTCTTTTAAGCTCCTCTGTCTAATTTATCACCCTAAAATATGGTTTCTATTCAATATTCCACTTAAACAATTTTTGCCAAATTGAATTATATTTAGTGAATATTTTTCTTTGATCCATATATTACTTCCCTCTAAAACAATTACCTTGATAAAGATTTCTTTTAAAAAAAATTTATTTTAATATAATTCAAGTGGATATTAATCAAGAAAATATAAAAGCCATTCTATGAAAAAATAAGTTTTCATAAAAATAATTAGAAAATAGCAATGGTGAATACACTGTTATCATGATAGAAAAAATATATTTTCATTTGGTAATCTCTCAGCTTATTTCCTATTAATACTATACCATTCTTTTGCTTAAATCATTTTAAGTATTTACAAAGTATCTCACATTCTGCATAATCTTAACTATTTCTTCCTATTTCACAATATTTTTTATTTTTTTTAGTCTATCTTTTAACTTTTAGTTTCTCATACCAGAGAGACAATGCGATATTTACACGTGTGTTTGATTTATTTCACTTGAGTATGTTCTCAAAGTGAATCCATTTACCTAGAAATGTCTCAAGTTTATCCTTCTTTGTGGCTGAATAGTACTCCATTATATTAAAAAAACACATCTTTTTATCTTCCCAAAAGAATTACAAGTATCATATTACAGTGATATATGTACACCTATGTTTATAGAGGCACAATTTATAATAGCTAAATCTTGGAAACAACCCAAATGCCCATCAACTGATGAATAGATAAAAAGGACTTATTTATTAACATGTACTTGTATTGCATTAAAATAAAATTTAAAAATTCAAAATTTGAAAAAGATTAGTCTGCAATTCTCTTTTATGGCACCTACACTACTGAGTTTCCTCTCATAGCTTTACTGTTGCTTCTATGTATCCTTTTCAGTTTATACTTCATCTTTCTTTTAAGTATCTTTTTGTGGGAAATTATGTCAAATATAATCAATATACTGATGATTCTTGTAACTCACATCCATTCTCCTTCCTGAGCTTCAAAGCTTAGGTGGACCAATATATGGTGAATATTTCCAGTGAATTTCATAGCAAAATGACCATGTCATATTTGAAGTAATCATCTTCACTTCAAACATATTCTGTACATAAGGGTGGATCAAAAATCACAGTGTGTGATTATACACACTATTATAGTAAAAAATATGTCATTAATCCTCCTCAAAATATTTCCTCACATTGAGTACACTTATTCCATCATTATTTCCATTTTCTGAAGCAGTTTTGGAAGTCCTGTTTCATAAATGTCTATGTGTTATGATCAAAACTATGGTGAATGTTGCTGCCAAGTGCCATGCAAAAAAGGGCAGGTTTATAAAAACATGGTGTGTCCTCTTCAATGTATTTCATAGGAACTGGCACTATGCAACTTCTGGCTCTACTCCAAAGTCAAAATGGTCATGAAAGGTAAATGTTTTGAAGGGATTCAGGCAGCCAGGACAGTACAAACTAAAGATGCTTGTGAAAGGGAACTTCCAGGACTACTTCTGAAAGTGGCAAGAACAGTGTGATAAGTGTGCTCAAAAGGAGGGAGAGTAATTTGAAGGAGATTAATGGCAATGTGTCTTTTATTATAATGATTAAAAAATTTAAACATGCACTGTATTTTGTGATAACACTTCATATGTTTCCCATTCCATAACACCATCCACTCAGGCACATAAACCAGAAAGAGCCCTGACACTATCCTCAAGGCTGATGTTTCCCGCATACCTCCATGTAGCGGATAATTAAATTTTGTCAATTGTATGTGTCATAGCCTACATCTTTTTCATTATAAGAAAACTATAACTGCTTTAATCAGACCAGACTCAACTCTTATGTAGATTGTTATAAGAAACTCCTAACCATGACTCTGGCTCCAGGTTTCCCTTGATTCTCCTTCCGTCCTCTCAGTTCACCAGGGTCTAGTTAGTAACATCGCTCTATAGGACAGATTGCATGATGATTCTTCACTGTTTAGAATTTTCCACTAGTGCCCACTTTCATTACCTTCTAAGCTCCAATCACAGAGAAATCCTCACAGTTCCACGCATATACCACATGTCTGCATCTCTTAGCTCTAGCTCCTGTTGGAAATGCTTTGCCAACTTCATCAATCTGATTTCTTCAGTCTAGTTCACATAGTCCATTAACATTTATATTTCAGGTCATCTTATTTGGAAAAATTTCATCATTCCTTGAGGAATAAGTTGGGTGCCCTTTATATATGGGCTTCTAGTGTTCTGGACAACACTTAAAATATCATATTGCACTTTTCTTTTGTCTGCTTTGCTACATTGTGAGATTCATGAGATAAAAACTCCTGTCTAATTTGCCACCAAATTTCCAGTCCCCAATATGAAGAAATCACTGAATAATTGCTTAAA